AAGGGTGCGCTGCATCCTGCTAAGAGTGTTCGGCATCGTGTGCTTACTTTCTTGCTTACGGATGACAGCTGCGTATGACTTAACTTATTTTCTGGTGCTTTCTCTTCCTGACGCAGTTGTAAGCACTGTGTAACTGCCTCGAGGGTGCTTGACCATTTTAACACAACGTGGTGCGATCATCCCCCTTGCGCGGAGTGAGGGTTCTCCACCCCGCACAACATGATCTACTCGACCACCAATATGGTTACCGCCAAAAAAAAAACAGAGGTAAAAAAACAAACGATAACCTGGTTGCCGAGTTCACAAAGTGAATTGGCTCGTTCTACAACGTCGTTGCGAAGCGATGAAAGCCCAATCCCGATGGCAAACACCGAAGGAGGCGGCTTGTCTTACAACGTCGTTGCCAAGCGACGAATATCCAACCCCGATGGCAAACACCAGGGAGGGCGGGGGGGTCTTTGCCAAGAGATGAAAACCCAATTCCGATGGCAAATATCGAGGGGGGGGCTTGTTTTACAACGTCGTTGCCAAGCGACGAAAACCCAACCCCGATGGCAAACACAGGGGGGGGAAGAGAGGAGGATTATTTGTGGTTTGGTTGATCTGGTGCCAGGTGGACAATGGTCTCTGAACACCGCTTACATTGCGACCTCGTACCATGTTATGCATGTTTAGTAAAACGCCGTGCATCACGTTTTCAACTTTGGCATCGTACGCGGGCGCCGAATGGGAGGTAGACGTCCTGGACGAGAAGGTTTCGCGGCTGAAGGTGCAGCATGTCGTTGAGGCTGAACGTCATCTGCCAAGGAAGTTTTCGACAAGGTACAGGCGAGTCGGAGTAACACCGAGCGTTTGCGTATGTTGGGAGTCTTTCTGAATTCGTCGTGGGGGACTGGGTCGAAAATCCTCGTCACCTGGGGCCGTGGTGGATTTCGTCGCCGTCGAGAGACTTTGTACGGAGTTCAGAACATCGCGCCGGGCGAAGTTTACTTCCATGCCCCACGCTTGCGGTTCTACACCGATGCCATCCTCGAAATCACGGCCGAGTTGGAGGAGACTTGTTGGCATGCTTTCACGCAGAGAGAATGCGAGATGGAGGCGATTGTGGACCCGTCGGCGGCGAATGACGGCCCTGGGTTTGATTTGATGTTGAAGTGGAATGGGTTGGTTTCAACAAGGAAGAGAACACCCCGCAAGAGCTGCCAAATAAGGTCTGGGATGCCGCGCCGCAGATTCTCAGATCGAAGCTGCGGCGGCTGGTATTGTCGAAAAGCGTTCGGGCTCGGTTGAAGCAACATTGTGGCATTATCTCGATAATTTTTTCATTTCAATGGGGTAAGGGCCGTCTTGTTTGCGTGTTGATGGCATTTTTTCGCCTACTGGTTCATGTACATTCTTCAGAATACCGCGCAATGATTTGGTTGTAGCGGTCGTATATTTTGAACTTATTTGTACTTCATTTATTTGAATTGAGTGAGGACTATCTTAAGGGGTATTGATGACACTTTTGCACTGACTGCTTTATGTGAATTCAGTATGCCAGGTATTGATTGGGTTGTGGCGTGACTGACTCTTGCATGTGTTGATAGGTCTGTCGACCGCGTGGCCTAGTGTCGGGGGTGCGTTGGCTGGTCCGATGGTTGCATGTGGTTGAACTGCGTGGAGGCCGTCTTATGACATCGTGTTGGTGGTATTTGTTCCCGAGCTGCGTAGGGTTTGAAGTTCGTAATATTGTTGGATAATGTTGCGGATCGTAGCAACACGATTGTTCATACATATTCCGAGCTATTTCAACCCAACGCTTCCTCCCGACGGTATTCTTCTCATCGTTTTCGTTGCATGTGACTGTCAAAAGAGCCGTGTGCTCTCCGTTGACTCCCTAGGACAGCCTCCCCAGGATGTGAGGGGGAATGATAGCCCCTAAACTAAGCCCCCATCGAGGGGTCTATAAGGGGCGAGGGAGGAGAAGAGCATTTCATTCAGACATTGATAGAGGCTCCCCAGATCGGACAACAATGGGTACTTTTAATACCCCAATCACCACTCCTAAGCTCCCGGCAGAACCCTGTCTACAACGATCCTAAAGCGCATTACTACTTCTGAGTAGAACCTGATTAGCTTCAGTACAAACTGGGTCTAACTACCAGCCGAAACACGGACAAAGCGCGAGCATGAAATGATACCTCGCCATGAACCGTCAAATCTCCCGAGCAACAATACGCATTGACCCTTTTGGGTCTACAAGCGTCCTGACAGATCATTGATTGATCATTTGCAAATGCTGGTGTTGTGGCATGCCATGGAGTTGCTACCCTACATCCCTCCACGTCAGATGTTGGCAAGGCAACAGGTGGGTGTGTTTTATATTTTATACCGGCCGCGCTGCCCGCTGACCAATGAAAAATTGTTAGTGCCAGCGGGTAATATCAAAGTACCTGAAACGGCCAAAATTCGGAAAATGCACGCTGCTCTAAATGTGAAGGCCACCATAAAACTCTCCCCATATCCTTTCACAGACACACATCATTAGCTCCATACATGCCCCACCTTCCTCCTGCGGTGAGTTCTGAATTTTTTTTTTGTCACGAAAAGGGTCCAGCCGTCCCTTTCCCTCGTCGACGGTGCTAACGTCGAAATTTGGTACTCACGAGAGCTTCTTCAGCTACTATTCGCACACGTACATTTCCCACCCGATGGGGAACTCACGACCTTTGCGACTAACGGTTTTTCGAGAAAACCACTCGACCACCGGCGCGACCGCCTCACGCCTCTAAACGTTTGGCGGGCAGGAAAGCCGTGGTGCCGGCCTCACACGGATCAAACTCTTTCGGGTAAGCTCAAACAGCACTCATCGATAGCGAAAGGAAGACACTCATGCATCCGAATCACCGTTGGTGGTGCAACATGTTTGAAAAGTTCCCTTGGTACAAAGTAATAGCGAGGTAGGAAGCTAAATCTCACTCCTCCTTGCCCTCCGTCGATGGACACATAGCAAGAGCAGAACAACAAAGTTGACAAAGTTGAGAAACACGACAACAAGCGCCGTGCAAGAAAACACGCATCTTTTGGAGCTGCGCCCCCCGCCCTCACTACATCACGAAAAATTATCTCGTGTCTGGCGCCACGATTGAAACATAATACAGGCAAGTAGAAGTCAGCACCACTTGCAGACACTGAAGGGGGCAAAGTTCTATCGAGGCACCGAAACCTGCGCAATGTATGACAGACAATTTAGTTTTAAACCTCAAATATGGGTAATCCACTGTCCAGAGGAAGCTGCAGCTGTTGCTTGATGCGTTTTCGGGGATCTGCGCACATCAAAACATCCGTCTTGGTCGCAATCCACGTTCATGAAGAAGAAGATTTAATTAATTTCTTTTGAGATTGAAGTCCATTCTAGCTTTTTGGGGCGCATGACCTAAATCTCCTTGCTGACTACATCTAGCACACCATTCAACCGCACAAACGAATATTGATTTCTATTCCAAAGTCCGTGGTGGGTGGTTGCGTTCTCCAGTCAACGTTGCACAAGCACACAAACTCGTAAACTTTTGACGGATCTAGACAAACATCTTGATGTACACAGTTAGCCCTGCGCTCTCATCTTGAGGGGAATTTGTTTGACATGGACCTTCTTTCGAACAGCCCGTTCTTCATAAGTCTTTACTTCGTGGCCGATCAATCCCCCATTTTCGACAGCCACGTCAGCTTGACAAGCAAAAAAACTGAAAAATTGTTGTCGTGTGTGTCGATTTCTTCTTTTGAGTTGACGACGAAATGCGATTGCTGTAGCTGCCCCGGTTCTCACTCGGCTGGGGTGCGGCAGGGGCATTACGTAGAAAGCAGAACAGTCACCGCTACTCATGCCGCAGAGACAACGCGAAAGCTGCAGTAGCGGCGGCGGCAGAGCCGTTGCGCCCGGGCACATATTTCGGAGATTATCGAAAGAAATACGCCGATGAGAAAGAAGAGAAGGTAGGTCTGGATTCTTCAAAATGGCACGAAAAAGAAACTAAAGCCGCCGCCTTCCTTGTCGCCCTTCAACAGCGTAGAAACATTGCAAGAAACGCCGGGTAACCACTTTTATCAATGGCGCAGAACGAGTAGCAAGAGCTGCAGCTACGCAGGCTGCAGCAACGCTGACGGTAGAGTTGAATGATTAAAATATATGTCAAGAAAGCGCGCACACGCACGCGAAAGTGGCAAACCATTTCATCCAATAGTTACTACACACCCAAACGGATTTGCAGCAGCCACATTCTCGTTGCCGCCCGTCTATGGTGCTCAACAGATGATACCACCAAAGCAAGAAAACCGCTGCTACTGAAGGTGCAGGAACGGTACCAACAGCTGCATAAATTTCAGAGATGGTGTGGGGCCTGCGCATGAATTTCAGAGATGAGCGGAAGAACAAACACCGACGAGAAAGCGGTACACCTGATTGTGCAACATGATACAAAAGACTGGACCTGTCGCTGCCCTTCCGGCACCCCTTCAAGAGCTGTAGCAACGGCAGCAAGACTCCAGTGTAGCGTCGTGGGTGGAGTCAAGCATTGTTGCTAAAGAGTCAGTTTATTAGAAAAACGTGCTCCAAAAAGTCAGTCCCACAACCACCATTGAGCTTGTTCCACAGTGGTGCCTGCTTCGCCCCCACTTCTTAATTCCAGACCGACCGCACCCTTGCATCCTCCCCCCTAGCATTGCTCCCTCCAGAGCTCACCCTCTTCGTGCTCGCCCTGTTGACGGCAGTGGGCTTCCGCTCCCTTGATCGGCCCGTCGCTACCAAATCGGCTGGTTGTGTGGTCACCGTATTTTTTTTTGCTTGACAAGCGGGGGACGTTTGGACCCGTGCATCACCCAACACTAACCCAACGTAGGATCCGTTTTGAGAGATGTTGGCGCAACGATTTCTTGTTATACCTCCGTGACCATGATAGTAATGTTTTCATCGGATGCGATTTGCGTTTCAAGTTGCAGACATTCAGGGCAGCAGTTGTAAAAGGCCGAAAATCACTTGTTTTTTTAGGATTTGATGGGTTTTGCCCGCCGATTGAAAAACCATCCGATGATTCCATGAATGTGTCCTACTTTTGGACAAGAGAGCCATTTGCCCTCCGTTGAACCCGAGGGCAACCTCCCCAAGGTGTGGGGGGGAAAGCTAGGTCCCTAAACCCCATAGAGGGTATTAGAAGGAAAAACAAAGAAAGTATTATTATCATCAGGCATCAACAGAGGGCCGCCGGATGGGATAACAAGGGGGTACCTACAATATCTGGACCTCTAGCAGAGCCCGCAAAGCACATCGCTACTTGTAAGTAGAACCCGATAAGCTTGATAACAAACTGGGCTCTGATACAAGCCAAAAACGGGGAAAAATTGCGGGTATGAAAATATACCTGCGATCAAATATCAAATCGCCTAAGCAACAGGCACATCAGCCCTTGCACGCAAAGGCTGATGGAAACCGCACACAAATATCACGTCCCAAAAGTATCCAACAGAATGCTAACCAACATGTCATGTAACCATCACGAACGACCTCATCATCGACGAAAAACGCCCGCATTATGCAAGTTTTCTCGAAAATAAGTAGTCGTAGATATTTCGCTAAGCTAAAAACACCGTTGTCAGGTGACACCAACAACGCTGAGTGTCAATCTGCTGGCACTAAATAAAACAAGCTTTTGCCGGTGCCCAGAGATTCGACCGGTCCTACTAGGCGTTGGCATTATGAAACCGGCACTAAATAGGGAAGCCCCCCTGTATGCCGTATCATGCCAAACCTTTTTCACAGATACGACCGAGCTCAGCACTACTCTTGCAAACATGTACAATATGGTAAATTTCGTGTCCAGGTCCGTCGCACGGTGCACGATGATAGAGGGGTCCACATTTTGGGGCGAGCCCGTGTGCACGACGACGTGTGCGGGGCTGATCTTTTCTTCAGACCACCTGAAAATCCAACTGGTGCTTGTGTGATTTGTTCTTGTAGAAGGATGCTTCGAATGCGTTTTCCGAATGAGACAGATGCAGTGTGCAATATTCAGGGGCATGCATTTGCCGTTTCTGGATGTATGATGTCTTTCGCATCGCTCGCTGTTGATATGTGTTTCATGTTTGGACTATTCGTTTGAAAGACACCAAGCATGATGAATGCCGAATCTCTAAAAAGCGTTTGGCGTTCGAAAACACGCGACGAACGCGTCGCAGAATGTGAAGGCATAAATATCCAAGCTCGGCCAGAGATGCTTGCAATACCTCCAGAAACAGACCCCGCAAACACATGCTTG